GAGAGAGAGAGAGAGAGAGAGAGAGAAAGAGAGAGAAAGACCGAGACAGAGAGAGACAGAGAGAGACAGAAAGAAAGAGAGAGATAGATGTAATGAATGAAAGAGAGCCCTTGTTATGGTATTATAATTATTATTTTATTGGTTTTGTATATTTTCCCTGCTTTGTGCTCTCAAACTATCTGAGGTAGAGTAGGGTGTTCCTATTTCGTCACATCCTGTCGTGACCTCGTAGCATGCTCTCCAACACTTCCGGTGTTATTTAATGCAGAATCATGATTTCTATCCGAGATTCCAACCTGATTTTTAAAAAAACAAACCCCCACCCAAAATAAAACCCCCGCGATTTAACAGCAGATTGAACGGTGGTCCAAAAACAGCGTTATCAGTTGCACTCATTTCGACATAGTAGTTCTAATTTCATGACATTATACGTTTTGCTATTTCTTCCTCAGAGGGTTCTATACTGGCGTTATTGTTTAGTTTTAGTAAGAGGTTTACAGCTCTTGCAACACAATACGGTCAAATACGTGCCGAAGATTAGGGGTGTTGCAAGACAGTGACAAGATGTGGATCTGGTGTGAAAATCCAAAGTGGGGCTACTTTCGACTTCCTTGGTTTATGGGTGCCCTTCTTGTGTTTATTTTTACAAGTGTATTTCCTATGCTTAAAAATCTGAAAGTGGCCGTCTTACGCGTGCCATTTTAATGTAGAAATTATGCCAGGAGGAAAAGGGTAGGGTGGGTGCTTGTTTGTACAGTTGATTGTCTTATACAGGTGGAAGTTAGCTGAGGTATTGAATTATTTGCAGGTCATTATTTTAGATATTTTCCCACCTAGTCACTCAGCAGAAAGTTTCGTTTAGTTTGAACAGAAACTGAGATAGGATCACAGGTGGGTATTGTTGTGGAGGTATTTTGGGACGAATCTGGATCCTCTGACAAAATTGGAACACCCTCTCTTATTATGTGTCTCGTGTTCTATTCTGTACTTATATAATTCCCCGTACCATGGACTCTTTACTTGACTACTTCTTCTATCTCTGGTGAATGTTGGACTTAATAATAAAGCAATTATGTTCTACTTGTTACTTTTACATTTCTTTATGCGGATTCCACTTGAGTAACAGACAACATTCCTGTATTACCTGTCCTAGACAACAACGTCATTGCACACCGCACAGGTGTATAAGTGCTCAGTTCCTTTCAGCACCAAAGCCTGCAAGGAATCCGTACTGGTTGTTC